AAATTTCAGTTTCTATTTTCAGATGAAATTGATAAATTTCAGTTTCTATTTTCAGATGAAATTGATAAATTTCAGTTTCTATTTTCAGATGAAATTGATAAATTTCAGTTTCTATTTTCAGATGAAATTGAGAAATTTCAGTTTCTATTTTCAGATGAAATTGATAAATTTCACTTTCTATTTTCAGATGAAATCGACAAATTTATGCTTTCAATTTCAGATGAAATTGATAAATTTCAGTTTCCATTTTTAGATGAAATGAACAGATTTTTGTTGTTTCCAATTTTAAAATGAAATTAATAAACTTCAGTTCTTATTGTTGAAAAAAAATTAATTAAAAATTTCAAAATATAGAAAAAATAAAAAGATTTTGAAACAATTAAAGCATAAAAGAATACAACAAATTTTACAATTTACAAGAAACTAAACTTAGAAAAATCGTTATTATTAATTCTTCATTCCACTTTCTATATATAATTTCGATATATAATTAAAAAATAAAATTAATAATAATAAAATTGATTAAGTCTACAAGCGTAATTTAATCTACAAAGATCGAAAATGAACTTTTATATAACTTTAAAAAAAAAAACCAATAAAAATAGGATCGCGTGATACGACACATCATCTACAAAGATGAAATTTCCTTCTATAGATAAACTTCCCGGATATATATATATATATATACACACACAGGTATCGATAACGTAATTACAGGTAAGCCAAATATCGAAATTTATACGCTTTACATAACCTAATACGCGTATAATTTAAGAGAATTTCGACTAAATTCGATAGTGTAAACCCCTCTAACTTTAAGAGTTAAACAGCTAAAGAAAGACGGAGAGTAAAACTATGTTTTATATTAAAAAATTTGAATTAATTTCATATTAAATCGTTCTTACTTGATTTACTTTCGGGGTAGGAAACAGCACAGAATGTAAAAATCGCCTGTCAAACAGACGTGATAAGCGGGTCGGATGCACACTCGTTTCTGTCAGGCAGACGGAAGAACAGACAGACTATTCAGTCTCTCCTCCTTCACTGCGCATGTACGCTTGGTAGATTTTAATCTGAATCGTGTTACTTTAAATCTGTTCTTATCCTAATCCCGGATTACTGCTGTCAACTTTAACTAATTATTAATCTAGTAAGGTCGTTAGCGTAACCTTTCTGTAGATAATCGTTAAGAGTATATATTTTTTTTTTTTGGTATAAGTTATGGGGTTAGTTTCTTATATATATATTTTTTCATTTATAGTAACAAAAGCTGTGTTATATAAGGAGTTAATGAGGAGAATTTTGTGTTTTATTATATGCTAGTGGATTATAGAACCGTATCGTAGGCGTAATTACTCTGTAGCTTCCCAATAATGATGACACTAAGTAAATATTCAGTCGACTAAAAATCTTCCATACGTCATAAAATTGTATTGATTATTCTGTTTTATTCAATAACAACATTACTATTCCTCAATAACAATAGCAATAACGTTTCTGATTCTATATGTAAACAGTACTTTCTACACCCCATTTGATTACTGCAGCGAACGATATATCTGTATCATCCAGCAATATCATTATTAATTATATTAAAATTTCGATAGTATTGTCCATAATTAAGACAAGCTCTCTTTAACAGAAGATAATTCCTTATCGTTAACAACAGCAGAAATGACATGAGAGCTCTTCTGTTACAGTAGCAACAACATATTTCCTACAACAGCACCGTCGTTGTTTAATTATAAAATAGTTTTATGTGATTCTACATCAACAACAATGAATCTAGTATCAACCTAGTATGTTTCACAGCGTACTTAAAGCTTTACAGTAGTAGCATAAACCATTGGCAATAGCACAATTTTCCACGTGATTATCCATTCCTGCAACAACGACAACTTCACTAAAACCACAATTTTATTACTTCAAGTTAAACCTTGCATTTTCTACAGAGGTTTGATCAATTCCAGCAAACATCGAACTACTACAAAGATTGATATTTACCCAAGAGACTCGAACCATTACATCCATCAATATTTCGAAGAGAAAAAAAAATGAATTTCAAAATAAATTTTCCTAACAAAAATATAAAAATATCTCTTCTTTAACATAACAATTCTCCCATACAATACTCTAAACTTCCGTCTATGTGTAATTCATGCAGACAAAGTCTTCCACTTCATCTATCTCGTACGATTTGCATCCTCATCCTTGGATGAGGATGCAAATCATTTTCATTAGCATCAGTAGATTTTTCTATAGCAGAAAGGATAGATTAAACTATGATTCGTTTAATACACTGTCACCATTTCTACCACGCTTCCCTATTTAATCTTCTCTACAACAGTTTACGATTGGAATTCGATATTCGATATTTCTTCCCCCCTTTTTTCTTTGTGAATTCCTCCGAGTCTACAACATTTTATTGCTGACTCATAAGCTGTATCGATCCTTAACTGTTAAATAAAACATATCCTGTTGGAAAGAGTAAAATTTATTTTAAGTAGCCCTATATTTTCTACACAGGTTCAATAGAACAATGTTAAAGGGCATAGTACCTTGCTCTCTATATTAGATCTGGTTACATGTGAGGAAAACCTTTGTTCTTTCTCAACCCCAATCTTCAATTATGAGATTACTTTTCTGCTTATTTTCATCTATATGGGTCACTGTTCTCACTTCCATATCATATTTACCAGCTCGCATATAAATTAACATAATTTATAATAAAATTAATACGTGCGCCAATATAATTTTAACATAAATTAACATAATGAAGCATACGTAATCCTTAAGGTTACTTAAGCTTATATTAACATAAATTGATGTAATGAAACTAATTTTAATTTATTTACATAATTACATAATAAAATTATTATAATTTTAAATTAGTTATTTAAGAAAATTTTTTATAATTTAATTAATTAAACAAAAATTTTTATTATTTTTTCAGTTCATTTATAAAATTAACATTTGAAAAATTTTAATTTTAAGATCCTCTCTTAAGATTTCGATAATGGGAGGGACTTATAATTCAAATTTTCAAAAATTTAAATTATAAGCCCCTCCCATTTCAAATTTTCAAAAATTTAAATTTTAAACTCCTCCCATTTGAAATTTTCAAAATTATAATTTTACGCCTATCTCGTTACAATTAATATAATGGGAGGGGCTTATTATTATAATTTTTAAAAATTTAAATTATAAGCCCCTCCCATTTCAATTTGCAATTGTAATTTTCAAAACTTTTCAAAGTTTTGAAAATTACAATTGCACGCCCATCACGTTACGATTCATATAATAGGAGGGGCTTATTATTATAATTTTCATATATGTTAAAGAGATGCATTGATTAATGTTTTATTAAGTTTAAATAATAATTTTAAATAAAGCTTATTTGTAAAATGATGTATTTTTTGGCATTTTACATCGTTTATAAAATATTAAAATTAGTTATTTTATTTTAAAAAATATATATTTTGAACTTTAAATTTTATTTTAATTAATTTATTTAATATAAAAAAATTAAATTAAATTATACATTAAGGTAATACGGAATTGTTTTAACATAATGTTTTTTATTAAAAGTTAATTTCTAAGCGATTTTTTAGGATGTAAAACGCATAAAAATCTTATTAACTCCTTATTTATTTATAATATTTTATTTTTTTATTTAAAAAACAAACTTCTAAGCACTTTTCTAGGTTATAAAATATATAAAATTCTCAATAATTCCTTATTCTTTTTTGTAGATTTTTTTTATTTAAAAAATAAACTTATATACAAATTTTTTAAGGTTATAAAATGTATAAAATTGCAATTAATTTCTTCTATAACCCAATAAACTTGTATAATATTGAGTAGTGGCATATAATTATAATTATCATGCAACCATATTAATGAGATGCTTAACAGGATAATAACATTAAAGAGATCTGAAAAGAATTCAAGCGTGTAATAAACTTATAAACAACGTAACTTTTTGGACTTTTTGGAACCATTTGCAGGACATTTAAGCAAATAATTTTAGTGGAAAGAAGAGAAAGTGGAAGAGGAGAACCTTAGAAAAAAAGAAAATTTAATTTAAAATTCTGTTTTGTTGTGATTAAAAACCGCATAAAAGTAATAATATCAAGCTGCAAATGTTTAGTAATTTGCCTCAAGGAATTCACTTTAAATGAAGTTTAAATTTAATTTAGAAAATTATAGTTAAAGTTTTATTTTCTACGAACTTTATCGGAATGTCCTCTCATCAATAACATCTGCTACACTTTAGTATATATAATTTTTATTTTTATTTTTTAATTTTTCTAATTCTAAATTAAAACTTTTCGAGAGAAATTTGTCGAATTTAGGAAGGTATCAGTTGAAAGGAATATTGATTACCTTTAATAGAAGTTTATCCGCTATTTATTCCTTCATGAAACTTTAATTCTTCTTCTTCTTTCTTTTGTAGTTTCCTCATTGCTGAGGGTTTCCTTAAGTGGAAATGTTCTTCAACTTCCTTCCTATAGTGTTTTCTATCCTTTGTAGTAATTTTCTTTCAAGTTCCTCAACGTTTTCTCAATTGGAAATACTCTTCAGTTTCTTCTCCCCTGTCATCTATTCGTAGCATATTTATATTTGCTAATAATTTTGCTAAATATCTTAGAATTAAAGCTTTCCGAGAGAAATTTGTCTAATTTAGGAGTACCAATTGAAAGGAATATCGATTAACCATAATGTCCCGTAACTTTCCTCCGTTGTATCTTCATCTCTGTAGAAGTTCTTCAATGCTAAGAGTTTTCTCAATTGGAAATGCTCTTCAGCTTTCCTCTCGTCTATTTTCTATCCGCGGCACGTTCATCTTTGCTAATAATTTTGCTAAATTTCTTAGAATTAAAGCTTCCCCAGAGAATTTTGTCTAATTTAGGAGTACCAATTGAAAGGAATATTGATTACCCATAACAGAAATGCTATTTGTTTCTGCACGAAACTTTAATTCTTCTTCTTTGTTTAAGAGTTTCCTCAAATCCTCAAGATTGAAGAAACTCCTTCATTTTCAATTGAGGAAATTCCTGAAAATATTCATTATTTCCTCCTTCCTCTACTTTTGTCCGTAAACTCTTCACCTTTGCTAGTCATTTTGTTTAATATCATAAGATTAAAAGTTTAAAAATAAAAAATAAAAAAAATTCAGGATGTTTGCTATCAATTTTATTAAATAATAAACAATTTTGTCGAATATAACATCAAATATTTGATAATTCATCCATCCAATAAAGCGAACAAGAAGAAAAATTTGTTCTCATCTTCCACATTTCTCGAAAAGAAGAGTGGCGCGTGATATTATAGAAAAAAATTAATAATAATTAAATTTTAAAATAAATTAAGAACTTTTAAAGACATTTAATTGTTTGCAAGTAAATCATACGAGAACGCATGCAGTCGCGTAATAAACTCGACTTCATAAAAATATCCACAAAAATGGCGCAGATAAGAGGACTTAAATGATAAATAAGCGGCATTAGAGTTAAATTTATAACGTCATTATTCATGTATATGATCACAACGATTAAGATTTGAAAGTACTCACGCTTGACAAAGCGATAAAATCACAAGTAATTCGTACGAGGGTGATGTTTACTGACGTCACAAGAGAAAAACAGTAAATATATATATAAAACGGCGAATAGAACGACTTAACTGTCATTGGTGCAAGCCGTGCTGTCTACTTAACTGCACGAACCAAACATCCGGCCATCTGTTCTCTGATCAAACTATTTTTAGAATGGACAGGGATGTTGTTGTCATGGTTACACCAGAGACGATTGAGGAATTGCGGCGCCTCTTCTCCAACTCTACTCGAGCGAACCTGTTGCTTCTATTGAATGTTAAAGGTTGTTTATTGTTGCCTATTTCTTTATACAGATTAACTCGGAAGCATGTTTTCCCCCTCGCCCCTCCTAAACACTCGTTAATGTTCATCTTTACTTGATCGTGAACACATTTAACTCACAATAATTTACATTTTTATGCAAAAAAAAAGGATCATTATTTCGCTTAACCGTCCACAGATGTCGTTTTAAATTACGCAGCATCCCATTCAAATGTGGTTGTAATATTTATTAAAATTTAAATAATTTTAAACAATTTAAACGTTTATTTTAATTTAAAAAAATGGTAAAAATATTTAAAAAATTAAGCCATCAATTTTTTAAATACTTAAATCAAATCAAATCCAAAGATGCGGAGTGATGAAGATTCGGATGCTGCAGCATCTTCAGCATCACTTTATGTTTATAAAGTATTAAAAATATGAATAAAATTCTTTTATTTTTCATTATTATTATTATTATTATCATTATTATTTTTATTTTATTAAAAATAAAAATCTAGAAAATAAAAAGTACAAACCGAAGAATTTCTTGTTTGGCATCATCATAAAATGACGTTTATTCTGTTGTCAGTAGAGACGAAACCACATGCTCAGATAAGATAGGAACTTTTATGGAAGCCTTATCGCCTTACACTTCCATTGAAACTATTTTATATTACACATAAAGTGGTCAAAATTCTCTTCAAACTAATTCACATAATGCTGTATCTCTAACTGTTTTGCCTTTTTCGTTTGATTTGAAATATCTCCCTCCATAAAATATATTACAGTATATATATATAACTTATATATATATCCTGATATAAAATAAAAACTAGAGATTTTTATAGATAAAAATTTTATAAAGGAAAGGAGAGGATTATTATCTATAAATTTACATACAAAGAGACTGGGTTGATGTTTATAACTTTACTTTTTTATATAATTAAATATAATAAAAATGAAATATTCTATTTTTTATATCTTTGCTGAAGATATACGCTATAAATTTTGAAAGATAAAATTAATTTAAATTAAAATTTTAAAAAGCTATTAACTTAAATATGCCGCCTTATATACGGTTTTATATACTTTATGTTTCGCAGGATAATTTTACACTAATTATGATACTATTTATTAATTATAATTAATTAGAATTTTATTATCATTACTGAAACCATTAACTGCATACGTTTTTAAAAATAAAGTGTTTTAAAGCTCTACCATTAAAGATATGAACTTAAATAAGCCGCCTAATTTAAGAAAATATGATAATCAAACTATTAACAGCAGTTTTAAATAACAATAAGATCTCATATTTTGCATAAAAACAATTATTTAATAATTGTATTAATTAATTATACTGAATAACTATATTAAAATATGATAAAATATGCAATTAAATTATTAAAATTGATTAGAAACGAACTTAAATTTGCCGCCATCAATCTACGCATTCAGCATAAAGTATCTAATTTTATACACCAGAATATGTTTAATAATGAAGTTTAAATCCTTAATTTGTTCAAGATTATTCTCAAGAACTCGAAGAATATAATTATTATTTAATTTTTATTGCTGTAATAGCACAAAATAAAAGAGAGGCAGGCAGACAAACATACGTATTTCTGTAATAAGTGGTTTATTATTAACTGCATATATAGATTTTTATATGGCATCTTTATTAATATTACTCTTTAGAAATCTATAAAAGTTTCCTGTTTATCTTCCTACATCATGATACATCATCCCACTTATCTCTGCATCCTTAGCAAGATTCAGTATTGTTAATTGTTAAATATTTTATATATTGTGTGCTAAAGAGTTACAAATTCTAGTCAATCCACGTGTTTA